GTTCTCGGATATTCTATTTCCTTTTTTTCTCCATCATTTTTCTCTTTGCTTTTCAGTTTTATAAATTTCTGTTGACATATCCCCAAGCTCAGTTATTCTTTCTTCAGTTGTATACAGTCAACTAATAAACCCATCAAATGCATTCTTTTTATATGCATTTTTAAAGATTTATTTATTTTTAGAGAGAGGGGAAAGGAAGGAGAAAAAGAGGGAGAGAAAAATCAGTGTATGGTTGCCTCTCATGTGCCCCCTACTGGGGACCTGGCCTGCAACCCAAGACATGTGCCCTGACTGGGAATTGAACCAGCAACCTTTTGGTTTCCAGGCCAGCACTTAGCCACACCAGCCAGGTCTCAAATGCATTCTTTATTTGTTTAGCACTTTTAATTTCTAGCATTTATTTTGAATTCTTTCTTAGAATGTCTATCTCTCTGCTTATATTACCAACTTATTTTTACATGTTATGTCCATTTCCATTGGGGCTCTTAGTATTTTAGTTATAGTTGTTTTGAATTCATGGTGTCATAATTCCAATATCCCTGCCATATCTGGGTCTGTCTGGGTCTGATGCTTTCTCTGTCTCTTCAAACTCATTTTTTTGTTTTGTTTTTTACATTTTAATACATTGCATATATTTTTGTTTAAAGGTGAACATGATGTTCTGGGTAAAAGAACCTTTGGTATATGGTAGTAAGGTGTGTTGGGAGGGAGGAGTTCTATAGTCCTATGATTAGTTCTCAGTTGGTTAGTGAGTCTGTGCCTTTGGGCTGTGAACTTCACCAGTGCCTCTCAGGTCTTTTCTTATCCTCTTAGGTTTTACAGGATGGCTAGAGGGGACTAGAGTTGGTATTTCTCTTCTTCTAGATAGGATGGGCTTTGATAAAAGTCCCATAGGTTAGAGTCTGATAAAAGTTTCTCTTGAGGATGGGTCTTGTGAAGAATAGGATGCCCTGGTTATTTCATGGTGGTTACTTTCCCTCTGCCCTTGCCAGATGGCAGCTCCTATACAAAAGCAAGTTCCAGTCATCATGACTGGGTTCCCCATGGAGGTTTTAGTTTGTTTTAGTTTACTCAGAAGCAAATGTTACACTTTAGCCAAAGCACTGCTTTTCTATTTTATTGGCAAATACACAAAAGAGCAATTTAAAATATGGATTCAAACTACTGGTTCTTACATCTACGAATACTGTGGATGTTTTAAGCATACTTAAGTTGAGGCCTCACTCCTGGAGAAGGTTATGATGGAGGTCAGGACCTGGGTATTTCTCAGAAGTTTCCAGGCAGCTCTGATGTTTCCTCCTGGTTGGGCCACTGATTTTTAGGTCGACTGGGGCTCTTGTTGAGCTTCTCTTGCAGATTTATTACCTGCAGTGAAGAACTTGGCCTCTGGGATTTTGGGTGTCTGTCTTGGGTTCTTTTCCCCAACAGAGAGTTTCTTTCTTTCTCTGCCTATTCTTTGATTCTTGGCTTCTTTCCTGGGCCTTTACCTGGGCTTTTGGGCTCTGCTGCCTTTGAGGTCTCCAAAACTGGAAAGGCCCTTCTTTTCTTTCCACTGCGTGTGTTGGGAGCAGGATTCTTTTTTGGAGACTTTTTTCCTGTGGCATATTTTTATATTTCTACATTTTCTTTTCTTTTTTTTAAACTTCATCTATTTACTTTTAGAAAGGGGTGAAGGGAAGGAGAAAGAGAGGGAGAGAATTATCCATGTGTGAGAGAAACATTGATTGGTTGCCTCTCACACACCCCCAACTGGGTACCTGGCCTGCAACCCAGGCATGTGCTCTGACTAGGAGTCGAACTGACAACTTTTTGGTTTGCAGGCCAGTGCTCAAACCACTGAGCCACACCAGCCAGGGCTTATATCTATGTTTTCTTTGGTGAAAGTTTCTCCTATTGGAATGAGTAATGGAATTTCTTCTTTGATTCATCTTGCACTTTATTTTGTTTTTTCCTATCCAGGTTTCTTTCTTCTCAGGCTTGGAGGTCTCTTGCTTCTGGGGTCCTGGGTCCTTCACTGGAGGAGCACTAGTTTTAGGAGCTGCCTCCTATGTAGTTAGGGCCAGTGTAGCCTTTCAAGCCTGTTTCATAAGGCTTCTGTCTCTTTTCTTCTTTTTGTTTTTCAGTATATTCTTTTTGTTTTTGTAATTCCTTTTCTTTTTTCCTCTTCTGACTAGGAGTAAACACTCAATTGACTTCATCCTGACTGCTGACGAATGAAGAAAAGATGGAAAGGGCAACCTATCTCTCAGGTTTCACAAACAAGAGCTTCACGTTCTCCCACTTCTCTGACATCTGTGCAAGCTTTTTTGTCACAGCAACAATGTTTTTGGTGATATGCTAGCCTATATTCCAGTGTGGCCAATGAGTATAGTGCTGCAAGAACCACTTTCAGAAATGTTTCAGACACTCCTGCCTATTGATGCATTGATCTCTTTGGAAAAGTACTTGGCTTGAAGATTTACAGGTAAAGGAACTCTCTCTTATAGAGATGTCTCCTGAGGTGTGAGGGTAAGAACTGCTTGATTCTTGCATCAGTAAGGAAGAGGTTGAAATTACCCAGGAGGAGGAGCTTGGTCTCATAGGCTTTATATTCCATTTTTAAAGGTGTTAGGGGGATAATCTGAGAAATGGTTTTAATTCCATGCTTGTTTAAAAGTTTCTTATAAAAACATTCTGTCTTTTCAGAAGTTAAATTGAGGTTTCCCTTAGTAAATAAACAGATACCTGCTAAATCTTATTGAATGCCATGAGGCAAGGATAATCTGACCTTTAGTTCTTTACTTGGCATTTTCCATAATACTACCATTAAAAAGCAATTTTCATTCCTGCTCTAAAGCAATCCATTCGTGTTCTTCCTGGACCTGGAATGTGCAACAGAGCTCCCACTGCCTTCCTGATCCATGTGTATAACTGAGCTGTCAGGCTGAGACCACAGCAACGAGTAACCCTTCCAGAGCCCCAGGGGCATCCAAGGAGGCCCAGAGCCTGCCTCTGTCACCACGTCCCTGCTCTGGAGCTTTTAACTCACACTGAGTTTCTAGACAATTTTTTATTACAGTTGTGGTTTTCCTGCCCTGGTACTGTTTCCCACTGAGGTCTCTGCTCTGTTAAGTAATGATTCTCTATATCTACCTGCCTGTTTCCAATCTTTGTGAATGAGGCAGTAATTTGCCCTGTGACCTAACTTCTTTGATGGGACTAAAAGTTGTTAATTTTTCAGTTTGTTCCGTGTTTTATTTGTTGTTAGGTTGGAGTGATGAAGCTTGACTAGAATCTGAAAAAGTCTGGGATATTACCTTTGAACTCTAAACTTCTAAGACTTCTTACTTCATAAAACTGAGGATAAGATTTTAATGGAGAAATTCTGACCCTAAAATTATTTGAAAATCATAGTATAATAAAGCTTTCCTTTCATTTATTTAGAGGAAAAATAGCTTCATAAAAGTTAGTTTAGTAAACTAAAAAGAAACAAACATAAAAAAGTAATAGCCTACAACTTAAAGTTATTATTATAGAACATTCATTTCTTTGGGACTAGGAAAGACACTTCCCAAACAAGGCATATAGACAGTGTGATTAAAAGTGATGAGACTGATTTCTGCATGTGGCTGAGAGTTTAGATTTCTTATTTAAATTAACTTGCATGCACAGTGGGATTAGTGAATTAAGTATGACTTGTAGAGAAATCGTAGCTCTATTCTTCCTATTATCCATAGTATATGCTGATTTAAGGGTTTCTTTAAAGTGAACACGGTGTGTCTGTGTGTATGAGAGAGAGAGAAAGAAAGAGAGAGAAAGTGAAAGAGTACAACATCCCCAAATGAAAAGATGAAAGTTCATTTTCCTATAAATTTCTCTAAAATTGCAAAATCAAAACTGAAAGAAAACAAAGGGGGAAGTCCTCAAAGTCAAGGGAAATCCATTGGGGACCAATACATTTTTTTCTCTTCCACAGGCCCCAGCTCTATTCTTAAGAACTGCTTTGTAGAAACTGCCCACTAAACAGGGTCATGGAAACATGCAGGTAAGACCTAAGTGCAGAACTTTGCTCTGGCCTGGTGGCTCAGTTGGTTAGTGCTGTCCTGTGCACCAAAAGGTTGCAGGCTGGATCCCCAGTTGGGGCACATACAAAGGCAACCGACTGATGTTTCTCTCTATATATATATCAAGAAAAACAAACAAACAAACCAATAAACATATTCTTGGGTGAGAAGGGTTAAAAAAAAGACTGAAGTGAAGAAATTATATTTACAAAGGAATCCAACTGCTTCCACTGGCAGTTATTCTCTAGTTTAGTTTAGATTCAGGGCCTTAACAATACTAATGTGATTAAAGAGCAACCTTTTCTAAATAAAAAATCAATGAATAAAGTTTGCTTTAAAAAAGTTACAAAGCAGTAAATAAGAAATTAGAAATTTAAAATTTCATTTGCTTATCCTTCATCATATTTTAAAATATTGTTCATTCTCTATAAGCTCTATACTACTGGAGGACAGAATCTCCTTAAGTTTAATCATATGGAATATCCAGGAAGAAATCAAGAAAATCTCATATGTATTTCGTGACAATGAGATACTTTAAATTTTTGGTGGGAAAGCAAGTTTTATGTAACTCTACAAGGCAGCAGATGTTTTAAAATGTGTGGCCTATTTTAATAAGAATGTTAATATTGTCAGAAGTATAATGTTCCTTTTATCTAACTTAAAAATAAATGTACAATGTAAGTCTAAAATAAAAAATTTTAATCAAAGCTGTTTTTAATCTCCAAAATTTAACATTAAAAGTTATAAAAACATTAAAATATAGATCTGTTAAGAAATTATTACATTTTTTGATGGATTCATGGGAACATTTCCTCTTTGTCCACATATTGCCTGTCATAGAGCTGAGAATCTGATCTGTGTTACCTAGGTTAAGCAGCAGCTTTGCTGGTTTGTGGTTTAATATTTATCAAATATATTTCTTACTTTCTCTCCACTTACATTTCTTATTTCACATACCATTTGTAATATATTTATTCAGTGTTCCTTGTGGAGGACAAGCACTTTTTTTCATCTGTGGTTTTGTTTCCTCTGTGTTTGAGAAGACAATTTGCTTAGTTTCTTCCTGTTTACTAGTATTACTATCGTTGAGAATCTGAAGTTAAACAGAGAAATCTTTTAAGAAATATAAATTCCATATAATTTTATGGATGTACTAAACTACCAAATCTCATAATTAAGCTCATATAATTACTGTCAATATGGAGAATTACACACAAAAGTCTATTCAGGCTCCATGTCAATATGTGTTGTTGACATAGAGACCCAGTAGCTGTGCATTTTGCAGGGCACCTGGACTTCACTTCCCGCCATTTCCATTTGTGATTTATGCATGCTGAGTAAGTGAGCCTACAGTGTGGGTAGAGGAGTTAAGTGTCCCTCCTCAATATAGCTCCCAAAGATTATCCAAGAAAACTTTTGTGGAATGAAAACACAACTAAATTGGGAAGGAGGTAAAATATAATTTAACATAGACTCATTTCATTTGAAAAATGATATAACTGAAAGAAAAATGAGAAAAACAGATTAAGCCTTCAGAATATCAAGGTTCATGCTTCCCATATTACTTATAGACAACATTTTAGATAGTTCAGGGTGGTACCTCAATCTTTCAGACTTTAAATAGTAGTTAGTCTAGTTATGAAACTGCTGATTTGGGGGGAAAACAGTTTGTGAAAATGTTGGGAAGCTTTTGTCAAGGTAAAAAACAAAATTTTAAAAACTAAAACAAAACAAAACAGAGTAGAGTTAACCCTGGAAAAAATTTCAAATTTGCCTTAAAGTCACCATGGTGTGTGTGTGTGTGTGTGTGTGTGTGTGTGTGTGTGTGTAAATGTATGTGTGTGCACACAGGCCAGCACTTTGGGTGTATTGATAATACAGTACTTTGAGTGCAGGGGAGAGAGAATGTCACATTGTCACGGAAATGGTAACAAAGGCTAGAGAGCAAGGACAGAGTAAGGAAAGAAAGAGGAAACATTTAATGAGTGGGGGAACAGTGGCACCACAGCAGCTAATGTAAACAAATTATGTAGCTCTTTAAGATCCAAGTTCTTTAAAACTAATCATGATTAATATGTTGGAGTTCTCAGGTAAAGACTTTTTTAGAAAGACTGTCACTGTACAAAAGGGCCAAGGTAAAGATGCAAAGGTGAACTTTAAGTAGGGTGCATGAAAGGTCATATACAGCAAAACCATATTACTTTGTTTTATTATTGCAGAATTTATGATAAATTGACATAGAATAAGATGAAGTCTTTAGAGATAAAAATAGAAATTGGAATCAGTGGCGAATACTTTAAATATTTAGAAGAACTTTTTGGCCCTTTAAAACAATAGACATCTTTATTTAAAAAAATAGAAAACTTAAAATTCTAATATAAGCAATTACTATTTAGTAAAACCACATCAACAAAAGGTTTACTGACTCTATATGATTGCAAAAATAAAACTTGGGTCTCTTCAAACACATGGTGAAGCAAACACAGTTTTACAGTTCATATGGAAAACACAATAATTAATAAATAATACAAGAATAAACTCTGTTTCATGTACCCACAACTATAAACCTATTTTTACCCCACCTGTTTATAGTACATTTTATTGTTGTTCAATTACAGTTGTCCCCATTCTTCTCCCATTACTCTCCCCTGCCCTACCCACCCCCACCTCCCACATTCAATCCTCCCCCTCCCCCTGTTGTCCTTGTCTGTGGGTCCTTTAAACATATTCCTTGACTTGACCCTTCCCCTTCTTTCCCCCATTATCCCCCTCCCCCCTCCCCTCTGGTTACTGTCAGTTTGTTCTTTATTTCCACATCTCTGGTTCTATTTTGCTTGCTGACTATAGTACATTTTAATTAGTTTAGATTTATCTTTACCTTTTTGTAGTCTAAATTACCTAGTTTTACCTGGACATGGCAAGAAATAATAAGCTATGTTTCCATTATTCCTAAAATATACCCTCTTAAACTCCAAAGTAATCTGTAGTCATCCCTCTCCATCTTTTTATTCTTTTTGCTCATTTCTGAGGACCTAATAAAACTAGCTTTTTAAAAATGACTACTTCTCATTTTTTAGCCAGATATATAAAAGAAACCTAATAAATAAGCTTTAGAAATAAATTTTAATATCAGGTTGATTTTCATATCTCATATTACAGTATAGTTTTAAGTTCTTACCTCAGGTGTTATAGGTGATTGAATGTTTTTATCCTCCAAATGTTCATTTTCTGGTTTTGTGGTATACATGCTAATATTTAAAAGAAAAATTATTTGAAAGAAAAACTAGGACCATAAATCCATCTAAGAACAAACATGGTTAAGTGGGGTTAATTTCTTAATGATTTTTTAAATAATAAATTTGTATCATAGTAAAGTCACATATCTTTATAGTTGAAGCAGTTCTAATAGTCATTTTAAAGTTACTAATCAAAGTCATGTGCATAAGTTTTTAAAAACCATTATCACATAGAAATGTAATACTTCTTAATAGTTGATAATGCTGGGCATCATTTTTTGTTTGTTTTTTTTAAGTATACTTTATCGATTATGCTATTACAGTTGTAACAGTTTTTTCCCCTTTGACCTCCTCCATCTGGTACCCCCATTCCCTCCAGCAATCCCCCCATCATAGTTCATGTCCATGGGTCATGTCTACAAGTTCTTCGGTTACTCCATTTCCTATACTGTCCCCCCCAATACTGTTCTTAACATCCCCTGTCTATTTTGTAACTACCAATTTGTGCTTACTAATCCCCCCACCTTTTCCTTCATTCTCCCCCTTTCCCCTCCCAGCTGATAACTCTCAAAATGATCTACATACCTATAATTCTTTTCCTGTTCTAGTAGTTTGCTAAGTTTGCTATTTGGATTCAATTATTGGTAATTGCAAATTTATTGCCATTTTAATGTTCATCATTTTGATCTTCTCTTTCTCACATAATTCCCTTTAGCATTTCATATAATAATGGCTTGGTGATGATGAACTCCTTTAGCTTTACCTTGTCTGGGAAGCACTTTATCTGCCCTTCCATTCTAAATGATAACTTTGCTGGGTAGAGTGATATAGGTTGTAGGTCCTTGCTTTTCAACACTTTGAGTACTTCTTGCTTGTCCTTTCTAGCCTGCAAAGTTTCTTTTGAGAAATCAGATGACAGTCTTATGTAAACTCCTTTGCAGGTAACTCTTCTTTCCTCTTGCTGTTTTTAAGATTCTCTCCTTATCTTTAACCTTTGTCATTTTAATTATGATGTGTCTTGGTGTGGTCCTCTTTGTGTTCATCTTGTTTGGGATTGTCTGTGCCTCCTGGACTTGTATGTCTATTTCCTTCACCAGATTAGGGAAGTTTTCTTTCATTATTTTGTCAAGTGAATTTCTTGTTCTTCCACTTCTCCTTCTGGCACCCTATGATTTGGCTATTGGTATATTTAAAGGTGTCCCAGAGGTTCCTTAGCCTATCCTCAGTTTTTTGAATCGCTTTTCATTCCTGCTGTTCTGATTGTTTTTTTCTCCCTTGTATTCCAAATCATTGACTTGATTCTTGGCTTCATCCCCTCCACTGTTGGTTCCCTGTAGATTTTTCTTTTCTTCTTTAAAGTATATTTTATTGATTATGCTATTACAGTTGTCCCAAATTTTTTCTCTCTGTTATCCCCCTTCTGCCCTGTACCCCTTACCCTTCAGCATTCCCTCACCCCTTACTGCATGTCCATGGGTTGTACATATAAATTCTTTGGTTTCTCTATTTCCTATACTGTTCTTAACCTCCTCCTGTCTATTTTATTTCTACCAGTCGTGCTTCTTATTCCTTGTACCTATTTTCCCCCATTTTCCCCTCCTCTTCCCCACTGATAACCCTCCATGTGATTGCTATTTCTGTGATTCTGTTCCTGTTCTTATTGTTTGTTTACATTTTGTTTTTGTTTTTTAGGTTCAGATGTGGATAGTTTGAGTTTGTTATCATTTTACTGTTAATAGTTTTTTTATCATCATCTATTTCTTATATAAGTCCTTTTGACATTTCATATAATAAGGGCTTGCTGATGATGAACTCCTTTAACTTGACCTTATCTGGGAAGCACTTCATCTGCCCTTCCATTCTAAATGATAGCTTTGCTAGATAGAGTAATCTTGGATGTAGGTTCTTGCCTTTCCTGACTTCAAATGCTACTTTCCAGCCCCTTCTTACCTGTAAGGTTTCTTTTGAGAAATCAGCTGACAGTCTTATGGGCACTCCTTTGTAGATAACTCTCTCCTTTCCTCTTTCTGCTTTTAAGATTCTCTCCTTATCTTTGATCTTGGGTAACTTAATTATAATGTGGCTTGGTGTGTTCCTCCTAGGGTCCAAGTTCTTTGGGACTCTCTGGGCTTCCTGGACTTCCTGGTAGTCTATTTCCTTCACCAGACTCTGGAAGTTTTCTCTCATTATTTGTTCACGTAAGTTTTCAATTTCTTCCTCTTACTCTTCTCCTTCTGGCACATCTATGATTCATTATTGGAGCACTTGAAGTTGTCTCAGAGGTTCCTAAGCCTCTCCTCACTTTTTTGAATTCTTGTTTATTCATTATGTTCTGGTGGGATGTTTATTTTTTCCTTTTGCTCCAAATCACTGATTTCAGTCCCAGTTCCCTTCCCTTCACTATTGGTTCCCTGTATATTTTCCTTTATTTCACTTTGTATAGCCTTCATTTCTTCCTTCTTTTTGTGACTGAAATAAATTAATTCTTTAAACACCTTGATTACCAGTGTTTTGAACTCTGCATCAGGTAGGTTGTCTATCTCCTCATCACTTAGATTTTTTTTCTGGAAGTTTGATCTGTTCTTTCATTTAGGCCATATTTCTTTGTCTCAGTGCACCTGTTACATAGTAAGGGGCAGAGCCTTAGGTATTTGTCAGGGTGGGGCAATCCATGTTGCTGCATTGTGGTGCTGTATGTGCAAGAGGGGTTAGAGAGGGTACAATGCCACTTCCTCGGCTCTTAGCCAGCTTTCAGTCACTTCCCCTGATACCCACAAGGAAACTAGGCCCTTTCAGGTACTCATTCCCAGGCAGGTGTGTTTGCATATGTTCTAGGACTCTGTAAGTCTCTCCAATGAACCCTCCTGAGAGGCTGGAGTTTCTTTTGCCTTTGCAACCTCTACAGGATTTTACTGCTAGGAGTTTTTAGTGTTTAGTTTCTAGGTCAGCCAGACCCAGCCTCACCCTCATAGTCCATCACCTTGCCCTGTGTCCTCTCTGTCTTGGCTGCCTGTTTCCACCCCTCCTACCAGTCTGGATGAATGTTTCTTTAACTCCTTGGTTGCCAGAGTTCCATGCAGTTTGATTTTCTGGAAGTTCTGGTTGTTCATTGTTTTAAAATTGGTTGTTATCCTTCTTTTGGCTGTGCAAGGAAGCAAAGCATTTCTACCTATACCTCCATCTTGACTGGGACTCCTATATTTTTCTTTATTTCTCTTAATGCAACCTTCATTTCTACCTTGGTCTTTTTTATGCCATTGAAGTACCCAGTGAGTTCCTGGAGCATCCTGATAACCAGTGTTTTGAACTGTGCAGCTGATAGGTTACTTATCTCCATTTCATTTAATTCTTTTATCAGAGTTTTGTTCTGTTCTTTCAACTGGGCCACATTTCTTTGTTTCCTCACTTTGGCAGCCTCTGTGTGTTTGTTTCTGTATTAGGTAGAATTTCTTTATCTCCCTGTGTTAGTAGGATGGCCTATTGTATTAAAGTGCACCTGTATTTTGTATGGGTCAGAGCCTTAGGTAATCACCTGGGCTGGGCAAACTGTGTCATTGTTCTGTTGTTCTGTGTGTGGGGAAGGGCTTGGAAAAGAGACAATGTTGCTGCCTGACCTCTGGAGGTCAGGAGGAAGCTCTCCCCTGACACTTGCCCCATTGCCAGTCAGTTCACTTACTCCCCATTTGCCACTGGTGCCCTTCCATCTGTTGCTCTGGTACTGAAACCCAGAGAGGGTGGGTCTGTGTGAGCCCTAAGTCCACTTCGGGCCCTTTAAGAAGAGTCTCTTAAGAATTTGTTCTGCCAACCCAACCCTTGTCTTCCTAGTGCTGGGACCCTAGTGCTGGAACCCTAGCCTTCCCTGGGCTAGGTGGTCTGGTCTGGGGCTTATATCCCTCATTCCTGAGGTATTCCTCTCTATTTTTATGCATAAGACATAGATACAGGACCACCTGTTCTGCATCTTTGCACCTCTCCACCTCTCTGTGCCTCTCTATGCCTCTCCACATCTTTGCCCCTCCTACCTGCAGGATGAATGTGGCTTCTTTAAATTCTTGGTTGTTGGACTTCTGTACAGCAGTCAATTTTCTGACAATTCTGGGTGATATTTGTTTTGTAGTTTGGTTGTATTTTTTTCTATATGTGTGAGAAGATGAGGAGTGTTTAACTATACCTCCATCTTGACTGCCGTCTTGCTGGGCATCTTAAAAGCATATATTAGAGAACTCAGCTCTTTATTTCATGCTTGATATAATTTCCACCATTGATTTACACTATCTTCAGTCACACTCCTGCATAAGAGACTCCAAGAAAATTGAAAATGAAATGTGATCAACTACATTAATACCTACCTCTATAAGTTACTGATACATGCTGTCTTTATATATGATCCATTTGAAAGGTCTGTAAGACCAACATTTAAATAAAATAAATGTTTTACTTTGAATAAGAATGAACTAGAAAAAAAGAATGAACTAGAACCATATCAAGGGAAGAATAAGGTCTGGATATTTTTATTTTAAAATATCTATTGTTTCTACCTTCTCTGGGATATATGCTGCCTTTGAGTGTAGCGGGAGTCTCCAGGCCTGGGCAGCCAGGGAAGACCAGCCGGCCCGGCGGGACTCAGTATATTTGCCTTAAAAATATCTTTCAATTCTTGACTTAGCATTGAGGAGGAAAATTAAAGATTTTAAGTTTTACATTTTAGATATTTGATAAAACGAACTCCCCTAGTGTTTTAAGTGTCTATGCTATTTTTAAAGGCAAGAAAATTTAAAAATGGAAATTTTTAATGAAAAAGAACATTAACATTTGAGTATCAGCCACATTAGATACTTTACAGATTCTGTCTCACTTTAATAAAGTAAAATATTAGTATATAAAATCCTAAAGTGATCAACTTAATTTATTACAATCAACAGAAAATAACTTTCATTTAAATGTTATTTAAATTTGATGAAAATATTAGATATCTAAGTCCTTTAGGGTAAAATTCCATTTTAGTTGAAGA